TTCATTAGCATGCTTTGATTGTGAACTATGGACAGATTAGTACACAAAGGTTGACTGCTAACCAGTGTACAATATGCATGCATATTGAAATGAAATGATTGGATGACTGTTATCCAATTAGGAGGACTGTTCTCCTAGATATGACGTATTAACATTGAATTATTTCAATACTATTAAGATTATGATTTAATATACTTGTACTGAAATTCATATAATTTGATGACTGTTTTCATGGAGGACTGCTCTCTTATATTGAATCTGATGATAAAGTTGTTTGTAAATATATGTCATATAATATCTCGGCTATTATTGGTTACTGTGCAAATTTGGTTTGAAGTTTAATGTGCTTTATTGTTATATATTTCAGACTTTGAAGAATTATCAAGGCCAATGGATAAATATTGACAAGTTTAAAGACGATCTTCATTTTAGCGATATAGTGGAGTCTTTGCCGCATATCGTGAGAAATGCAAAATCTCAGTCAACGAACAAGAAGTACGATATATATTTCTCTAAATTCAGAGACTGGTGTTCGAAGCATTCATTTACACATCTTCCTGCATCAGTGTCTACTGTCGCTCTTTTTATGGGAGGTTTGGTGCAACAGAGGGTATCGACGTCGGTTCTGGAAGCATATTTCTACAGTATAAGTTGGACTCACGAATTTTCTTCAAATTTGAATCCATGCGAGGACAAGTTCCTGAAACTAGTGCTTGAAGGTGGAAGGCGAATGTTATCAAAACCTATCAACAAAAAAGAACCAATCACTACAGATATATTACGTAAATTGATGGATTTTTCTTCCAAGGATCCTTCTAATGTGCTGAAATTAAGATCTTTTGTTATGTGTTTATTGGGATTTTCTGGTTTCTTTAGATTCAGTGAATTATCAAATATTCGATTATGTGATATCAAATGGGAAAGTGCTCACATAGAAATTAATATTCCCAGAAGTAAAACGGATATCTACAGGAGAGGAAATTCGGTGATAATCGCAAAAACTGGAAACGATTTGTGCCCTGTGTTTTGGTTAAACAAATACATCGACATGTTAGAGATGGACAAGTCTTCCAATGATTACATGTTTACAGCTGTAAATTTTGTAAAGTCCCTCAATAAATACAAAGCTTCAAATAAATCCAAACCTCTGTCATATACAAGAGCTAGGGAAATATTGTTGTCTTCTTTAAATGAAATTGGCCTTGACAGTTCTAAATATGCTTTACATAGTTTACGTAGCGGCGGAGTTACAGCCGCTGTTAATAATAATGTGTCTGATCGATTGCTTAAAATACATGGTCGGTGGGTCACGGATAAAGCCAAAGACGGTTATATAAAAGACAATCTTGAACATAAAATTCTGGTTTCAATGAATCTTGGTTTATAAAATTATTTTATTGCAACTACTGTCCTTTGTTTAATGCGATTTGTAACGAACGCAACAATCCTACAGTATATTCTTTTTCTTTGTTTTTCAATAAATTAGTTAAGAAAATATTTATTTGCGGAGGAGTGAAACGAGGGAGAAAATAAATTTATTTCTTTACGTTTTTACTTCGGTATTCTCCGTGTAACTTCGTATCTAAAGAAACTGGTTTTTCATGCACGAGCGATTTAGCGCTCACTATAAATACTTTTACCGGGGAATGTTCGATTAATGCGACGTTCGTTACAAAGAATCGCAGGTTGTAGTAAGTCTTTGGCTTTCCCTGCCCTCCCAGCCCTTGCATTGTTTATTTTGTAAAATTTATTGAGTTTGATTTGTATGTTCTGGAATAAAAATGCGATTTGTAACGAACGCAACAATCCTACAGTATATTCTTTTTCTTTGTTTTTCAATAAATTAGTTAAGAAAATATTTATTTGCGGAGGAGTGAAACGAGGGAGAAAATAAAGGGGTTTCTTCTAGTTTTGATATACTGCACACCACGCCCGATCTAAATTCGCGATCGCTGAAGTCGTTTCGAGTAATCCGTGGAAATAATTACTGTAATCTTCATCAATATTAATATTATATTATGTATGAATATCATTTTTTTAAAAATTATTTGTAAGGAATTCGAAACCTTAAGAATATAAAAGAAGTATGAAATATTTATCATGTTGAAAGACATTACAGTGCAATGTTTAATTGAATTCTTTTAATGAATTTAACTAGTCCATTAATCAAGAATTAAAGTCATTTTTTATAAATTCCAATCATTTATAATATGTAATTAAATTAAATTAAATTAATTAATGAATGAATCTGTTAATGTAATTATTATAATGAAAAACATTACAGTGAAATTTTTAATTGAATGTTTTTTTTAATGAATTTAACTAGTCCATTAAGGAATAATGTAATTTTTCTCAATTCAAATCAGTTATAACATGTAATTAAATTAAATTAACTAATGAATGAATTCGTTAATTTATTAATTTTTGATTAAGGTGTTTGTTTTGAAATGTTTTCTTCTATGTTTAATAATCAATTTTTTAATTCAGTATTCATTCATTATTATTTTCCAGTTACTAATTTTTTGTTTTTTGGGGGGAGAGTGTGTTGTTGTTGTTGCTTTTTTTTTTTTTTTTTTTTTTGTTTGTTTGTTTGTTGTTTTTTTTTTATGCAAGTAGTAGAAAAAAATATGCATACTCATTGATATGAGAAAGCAACATGTATCCATTACAATTAAATTATATTAGAATCCAGGTCTATGAAATAAAAAAAGTCTGATAAAAAATAATGAAAATGTGCATGTTGCATATGTGAATTCTTGTACAGTTGGTATTGTAACATTATTGTGAGAATATTATTCACACCTCAGGTAGCTCTGTTGTTTTGTACTGGGATAGACAGGTACCCCTGTGTGTGTACATGCACTATATACACAGCTGTTGACACTTGGTCAACTTGATAATAAACACCTTTTGTTTAAACACCTGGGTTCCCAGCTACTCTGACCAACCCCCCTCTGGCAGGGCATGTGTATATACATTGAACCTTTACTATTCTCAATTGAACAGTTATGCTTTACAGAATTTCATTTTAAGGACGTTAGCACACACACAAGGAAAATATGAATTTTGATAATTCATGACAAATTAATAAATAAAGACCTTTTAAATTAGTAATAACTGAAAATATTCATAGTTTCCTTATGTTCCCAGTTCTAGCCACGTGGAGGCCTCCTTAGGTGTAGAGCCATGATTTGAATTTTAAAACAAAAATATTAAAACCAAAGGACCGAAAGATAAAAAATTAAAAAAAAACTTTAAGAAGATTTTTAAAAAAACTTAAAGATACTGGATCATTATTCCTAGTCAATTTTTTGTTCATATATAAAAATATTACAGCCAAATGAAAGTAATATACATGAAATAAAATAACATAATAAAAATTTTAGAGAAAGGAATTTATAATTTAATTAGCAACATTTAAAAAAACAATAACATTCCTATAACCTAACCTAACACAACACCAAACAGTATTCACTGGTCTGCACCCGTCTGGCGGCGGAGGAATACTGCCTGATACTAATCCTTCTCTAATTTCTAACCTAACACAACACCAAACATGCAGTATTCACTGGTCTTTCAGTGACAAAGATACTACAACAAAAAGCTTTATTCATAGTCAATCTTTTGGAAGAGCAGTTGAATTTTGTCCAACAAAAGTGTTTCTACAAGTGGGACTGGGAGAAAAAGATATAAATTCATCTTCTGTGTCAGAAATTGTGTTAGGAATCCAAAACATTATTGTAAAACTGTTAAGAAATATGATTCGGTTCAAAAAATATTTATTGGAAGTCTGTTTAGGCAAATGATTTGTGGTATTATGGATCCAGGAAAGTACAATTCTACGGTTTTTGATATAAATATAACACACTCCGGAGGAAATATGGAAATTCTCAGAATGTGATATTTTGGAGATGTAAGCTAGGGTTTAATGAATTCGAATAAAAACATTTGGCATGTCAGTGGGATTAGTTTGAACAGAGAGGCAATGGAAATTTTTAGTCGACAGATTCAGCTTGCAATGAAATGTAAAAAAAACATAAAATACCTGTGCTTGGAGATGATCAAAAAATTTCAGTTATCTTTCAACCAGTTTAGACAGACATTTTTCATAGTTAAAATTCCATCAAAACTTCAGTTCTTTTATTTTGTTGTGTGATTTTTTTCCTCTGTTTTTTTCTTTTATTTCATATTTGTTGTAATTTAAAGACAATTCAAAATGTAAACAACTGATGTAAAATATATATTTTTTTTCCTAAGAAAAGAATTAAGATAAAAAAGTTACAATGAAATAAAATATCTATATATTTGAAAATTGATATATTATTTTAATTTACTATTTATTTCAGGTTTCAGTATTTTCATCTTTTGACAATGATTTATTTTTTGTTCTCTTTGTAACATATAAGTAATCATTATTTTTATTTTTAATTATTATTGTTGCTTTGAACCTTTGAATTTCAAATTTTTATATACCTACATTCAGAATTTGTCTAAAATCTCAAAAATAAATTCAGTATTTTCATATTTTGAATTTTATTTATTTTTTTGTTCTCTTTGTAACAAATAAGTAATGAATTATCTTTACTATTTTTTTTTGTTAATGTAGCGTTGAAGCTTTTGGATATTTTCATATCTCTAAATTCAGATTTTCTCTAAAATATCCTAAATGAAATTTTTTTTTAATTATGGCTCTACAAAAAGGAGGCCTCCACGTGGCCAGAGCTGGTAACATTGGGATAATATGAATAATAATTAATACACAAATTCATATTTTCTTAATGGCTAACGTCCTTACATTTTTTGTTAAATACTTATTACATAATTAATATTTTACTATTATCATTGTAAAACGTTACAAATATAATTGTGGAAAATATTATGATTATTTTAATATTATCTATACAATTATATTGACAAACAGCTCGCTTCGAATTTAGATCGGGCATGGTGTACGGTAAATTCGTAATGTCGCCCGATTTCCGTCGATTCTGAGGTAAAATTGGCTATAAAAATTTACGGATGTCAATATCATTCAATTAAACATCACCTTAGGCCTTATTGTACCCCATTACGTTCAATTTTATGGGGTTTCCACCACTTTATTGGGGTTTCACCCCTCCTGTATGGGTATTCTCCAAAAATTGGGGGGTTTCGGGTTTTTCCAGTCACCCCAGTGTAGATACCAGGAGTGTAGGCTACTTAATGATGTCCCAACAGGCAAAAAACATCTGACAGAAAAGGGAGGAAAAGCATGGGATATTAATACGAAAGTAGCAGTAGGTAAGTGTATTATAGTTCTGAAAATAAACTTGTGTACATTGGTGTTTTTAATCAGGGGTGTGCAATAGATATTACAAAAATAAATTACTAGCCCGTTGGGCTGCGCTACTGGCGGTAACAAAGTTACTAGCCCCAGTTTGCCAGTCACTAGCCCATTAACTACCAACAACAATACATGTATAAGTATAACATAAAGGTGAAAAAAAACATTGAAGTTGAAATAAATAAAACAAATAATGGTTTGCGCTTTGTAATTGTCAGGTACTTCCCCCTATTTATATCGACTATAATTGTCACTCAGTGAGATGACTGGTGATAGGAACACACAATGCATATAGGTTAAAACGAATTAAAGATTTTGATTTTACAGAAAAGTTAATTCGTACCTAAATTCAGTCGAGGTAAATGTATGTTTACTTTCATTTTAGATTTACTAGCCCGACCGGCTAACGTAGTATAGATTTAAGATAGCCTACCTCTAAAATTGGTAGCCCCGGGCGTCGGGCGATGGTAATTGCACACCCCCTGTTTTAATCTTTGATTATTGTTTTAAATAATTGTGTTTGTAATATTTTAGGAATGATCAATGGTGGCTTCGGAGAGTCTCATTTAAATGCCTTCTTAGCAGTACTAAACATTCCAGGAATTTCGAAGGGAGGTCTGAAGGAAAGGGAAAGGGAAGTTGGCAGTACACTGAGTAAAATGGCAGAAGAAAGTTGTCGAACCAGTCTATTAGAGGAAGTTGAAAAGTACGTTTATTGGTATTTGTTAAAATAATTTGAATTATTGAAATAAAATAGAAATTTCATGCATGATAATTATTGGATTTTTCTTCAGGAGTGATGGTAATCTCACCGTCAGCTTCGATGGTGCCTGGCAAAAACGGGGTACTGGGCGTGCCTACAATAGCCTTACAGGTATTTTTTGATGGTTTAAAAAAGTCATCAATTATCCTAATTAGTAATTTGAATTGGATGCTTTAACTTTTCACTGATTACTAAAGTAATATAAAGTATTTACTGCTATTGAACAATTTTCTTTATGTTTGAAGGACATGCAAGTTTGATTGGGGAAAAAACCAAGAAATGTGTTGGTTATGCTGTAAAATCTAAAAAATGCAGAATATGTGACTTGGCAAAACGGAAGGATGTTCCCGTGAGGAAGCACAAGTGCAGTCGAAACTGGTCAGGGTCAGCCAAATCTATGGAACCTGCTATGGCTTGCGAGATGGTGCAAAGCATAAAAGATCAAGGTGAAAAGGTATGAATTGCATAGATATGTTCGATTATGTATATATATATCTGTGTACATTCAATATTCAAAATCCATGAAGAGCTAAGAGGTGAAAGCGCTATGAATTAAAATGCCACCTTCCATGAAATCTTTATTACATATTAATAATTTATATATATCTGAAGATTGTAAATGAAACAGTCTTCACAACAATTCTTTTTTAGCACATGCCCTTCGGGCATGTATACTGGTCATTTCAACCCAGCCCATTGAAATTTGTACATGCCCTACTCAAAATTCATTCATATAGCAGAGATATGATTGTGCAACAAAAATTAAGGATTTTATATTAACTATAAGGACAGTGTTTTTGTTTTTTAATTTTAAATTATCTCGATCTTTAGTTTAAATTGTCTCCAGAGTTTTAAATCAACTGTTGCCTGCCTGTCTGCCATTTTCATATGCGTTTTTGTCCACAACTTTTGACGCAAATGCTGGTCATTTGTTTGCCAGTATAGCTGAACTGAATTTCAGAAATAGGATCATGATCATCATGACATCAGTCCACTGCACATGGTATCAATAAACATATTGTAATTTAGCAAGAAAACATTGAGAAAACAAATTAGTTAAATTAAACACTTTAATGATTACGATTGACAATCATTTGACAGGTCATACCGATAATGTAACGTAAGACGAATGTAGACTGGCAATTCAGAATGACAGATTAAGACATTACATAGCAAGTTTACATGAATAACTGGGGTACAACAGAAGAATTAGCAAGTAAACATCGTGAATCGAAAGAAAATTCACATATGCCCTTTGGGCATGTAATTTGAGAATTTTCACATGCCCGCTGGCAAATTTACCAGGTCCCGGGCATGGGGCACCCAGGTTATTTCGAAGACTGTGAAAGTGCTAATGCATTACTGTTTTTTATTTTGCTTATAATTATAAAATGTTGTTAGGTTACCACGTTAGTAATGGACAACGATTCTACAACAATAGCCAGATTGAGAGCAACTGTTGATCCAGATATAAAGAAAAAGGTGGACAGCAATCACATGAAAAAAGGGTTTACAGGAAGTCTTGTGGAAATCAGCAATACCCATAAAGTATTGAAAAATGTTAAAGTTAGAACTCACATTGAGAGATGCTTTACATATTGTGTTCATCAGGCATCTGAAGATCCAGAAAAGTTAGCCAATGATCTGGGGAAAATTGTTCCTCATTTATATGGTAAGAATACTACTTGCAAAAAGAATGAACATATATTTAAGTTTGACACTGGCAAGAAAAATAATTTTGTTTTCTAATTATTTTTAGAAATTTTTAGAAATTGGTCTGAGTTCATGATAATGTATGAATGCTGTATTTGTATTAGTGTATTTAATCTTTAAAGGGGACCATTCCATGTGTGGCACATGGTGCAGGAGTGAACAAACTGGTTACAAACCAAAAAACTTGCCATATGGGAAACCTCTTACAAGTGAGCCTCTGAGATCAGCTCTAGAAAAACTGTTTGAGAAGTATGCAGACCGGGCAACTAAGTTGGTGTCGATGGGATCCACTCAAGTGAATGAAAATTTTAACCACATGGTTTCTAGCAAAGCGCCTAAAAGAATGTAAGAATTTTTAATTTTCAAATTTATGAAATGATAAAAACCTTGCACATAGATAAAACATATACCTTTTATTAATTAGACTATGTCACCTAAACTGTTCATAGGTTTTATGGAGGTTCAGACAGTCTGCATAGTAGAGTATCTGCAACTGTCTGTCAGAAAAATGAGGGGTATAATTATATAACTGAGGTATACAAATGAAAAAAAATGTTCTTTGATGTTCTTTTGATGTTCACACATGGCAGTTTAGGCAATGTCTATAAAGTAAAGTATTTTAAAGGAAACATCAAAAATACCCATACATAGCCTAAACTTGTTTGTGTAGTTTTTGTTCTTGTCTTGTTTACATTTTTTTTTATTTACTTGACCCAGTTTCATTTTTAATGCATGATTAATTTTTAAGGGTTTTGAAAGTTCTTAGAGAATTATCATGATTATATCTATAAAATGTGTGAATTTATTGTTACAGTAAAACTCGTTTAGTACAAACACAGCTATTGCAAATTCACGGATATAGCGAAGTCATCTTGGATCCCCATCTATAAATTTAATGAACTTCTTATATGGATATAAAGAATTACGAATATAGTGAAGTAATTATATAGGTCCCGCTGACTTCGTTATAACTGAGTTTTGCTGTAATACATTTTAATGCAGACACATTTGATTTTTTACTCCATAAAATATGTAATCTCTTTACTTGAAAAAAAAAATTATTACATGTTTTACATATTGATAAAGGATCTGTTGATTCTTTTTTTTTCTTTTCCAGAAAAAGTTTTCAATTTCATATTTGCTATTTTTCTCAGGTGAATAAAAGACTGACAATGTCTCCTGGAAGATACACCCTCAAGCATTCCAGGATCCTACAAAGCAGACTGAAGCTGAAGCGATTACAACAAGCAAAGCGGAGCACAAAGCGGAGACGTTTAGAGCTGAAGTCAGAGCGGTCTGCAAAAGATGCATCACAATCTGTTCTTGAAGGTAAGTCGGATAAATACAATTTATCTGAAACTTAATTTTTATGTGTGATGTTTGTTTGTTTTTACATATCATTTTTTCTGAACATTTCTATTGCAGCGGATACATACAGCAGCAAAATTGGTTTGAGTGATGAAGTTGATTTGGAAGACATTTCTTTGAATAAATTAGATCAACTACCAAGTACCAACAAATCTTACATGGTATTTGACCTAGAGACTACTGGTTTAGGTTTGTGAACTAGTTTTTTCTTTGTAGAAATATCTAAGGAATATATTATATAAGGTTAAGAGAATTGTGTTGCACTTGACTTAGAAGTATACACTTTGGGAGTTTCAATATTTATTTTTATTTATTTCAGCCAGGACATCAGACATTGTTCAGATTGCAGCTGTATGTGGAGAGAGAGAGTTCAACATGTACTTGACACCACAGTCCCCAATTAGTCTTGATGCATCTGCAGCAACTGGGCTTACTTTTGTTGGTGGTGTGCTGAAGCATAATGGCAAGAAGGTGGACCATAAAGAGCCCTTTGAAGGACTTCAGCAGTTTGTTGAATTTTTGAAGACTGTTGATTGTAAACCTATTTTGGTTGGGCACAATATACAATGTTTTGACCTACCAGTGTTAATGAATCAGCTAGTCAAATGTAAATTACTTGACAGTTTTGCTAGCACTGTCACTGGTTTTATAGATACCTTACAAGTGTCTAGGAAATCTTTCAGCAAAGATGATGTTAAAGATTTTAAACAAGTCACTCTTGTAAATACTTTCATTGGAAAAGATTATGAAGCTCATAATGCTATTGCTGATGTGAAGGCATTGAGGGAACTTTTTGAAATGAAGTTGTTGGCTCTGTGTTCAGCTAATGATGTGTTCACATTGAATTATTATACCACAAAGAAGTCTTTAGAGCCCCTTGTTAAGGCAAAGATTGTATCTTCCATGATCTCGAAGAAGTTGATTGCAAATTCTCTTAGTTTGTCTAAGTTGGTGCTAATCCACAAGAGGGATCCACATAATGGGTTACGAAATGTTTTTAGTGAACCATTATCGGGTTCAAAACAGCCTAGGATATCCAAGTCATCTAATGTAATCAACAAATTGGTTGAATATTTGAATAGCTGTGAATGATTACTGTTTGTATATATTTTAAATTAGACAATACAATGTGTAAAATAAAGGTCTAAAAACTTGTATGGGAGATTTCAGTCAACACTCAACCTAACGTTCGACTGTATTTGTTTTTTATGCTGACTGTTATTATTCTGTAGTATACTAATTTTTTGTGTATACTGTTGAACACATAATTGGATGTATTTTGACTCGGTGTAGTGGAAAGAGTAATGCTTCAAAATTGATGACTGATTAGACTGTGGATTTTCATTTCATTTACTTGAAAAACAGATACATGTACATGTATAATATATGTGAAATATATCTGTAATTAATGGCACACAGAATGTATTATAGGTTGTAAAATTATATTATATTCTAAAGAATGTTGTTATTCTTTTGCAGTTATGCATCTATGAAATGAAATAAAAGTCATCAATAGCTCTGGATTTTTTATCTTCCCTCATTTGAAATTCCTTATCAAAAATCTCAATTTGGACAAAAAACGTGTAAATAAATGGTGGTGCTGAGAAAAAATTTATGCTGGCAATGTGCTGTTTTTTTAATTTAATTTTAACAAATAGTCATAGATGAACATAATTTGAGAATTTGACTGAAAAATCACAAGTCAATTTTTTTTTACAATAATTTTAATAGTGTTGTACTTCCAAGTTTTTGGGCTGGCCGAGGGTTGTATTTTGTTCAATTTAGTCCCCCAAAACCAAAGAAAATATAATAAGAATAAAATTTCACTGTAATTTGTTTAATTGGATATATTTCTTTGATTTTAATAGGAAAAATCATTCATTAGCATCAAAATTAGTGTTTTATGTACAAATTATGTGAAACCTTTATTGGAATCTCATATCGTCAATTGACAAATGGGGGTACCTATGTTTGAGAAACTCTCTCTCAGTAATAATATTGACAACCCCTTCTTTTTTCCAATTCATCATACTTTAGTATGAACAATCTAAACATTTGAGAACAATTTTTTGAAAAATCACAAGTAGGTCCAGTACTAGGGACCTACCTTAACAAAATTAAAAACGCCCGTGACATCTTTCATAGTTTCTTATCTTTGTATTTTGTTCATAAGAATATTTCTTTTTTATTTTGCACTCCACTGACATGATCATAGATTGACCTGAACCACGTGTTCGAAGTAGAGTTTAAGTACATGTATTTGGCGTAAACGTTGCTATTCAATCAACGATTGGTCAGTTGCTGGTAGTAAAATCCTCTTGTGAACATGATAACAATAGCCATATAGGCAACCAAAGGGTATATAACACATTTTTTAAACCAGCGTATCTGTCACTAGCTTATATAGTGAGCTCTATTTTTCCCCATAAATTATGATAAGACGTTGTTATTTCAAGCCCCCCCCTTTAGCCACCCTTTTCTGTTAAAAATCAATACATGAAAGTCTCTCAGATTGGTTTGGAAACATATTTTTCACAGAACATGTCTTCAAAAGAAACATAATAAAAAAAAATCCTGTTTACTGTCAATTTTATTTGTAAAACCGGTTCTACCCTATTACCTTTGAACAGGTCAACCTAAACCACGTGTCTTGAATGTAAATCACAATAACAACAATAGGGGTACAAGATAGGAAGTGAAAGTGAGGTATCTTTCAGTTTTGGCCTTGTGGCAACGCGCTTTGAAAAGAAAATCAAAGTGAGCTAAAATTGGAACAAAATCAAAGCATTTTGGAAAAAAAAATTGAAGTGCCTTTAATTTAGGAGAAAATCAACGCAGTTTGAAAGAAAAATAAAAAGTGCTTTAAGACTGTACATCAAGATTTTTTACCATGGAGACACTTCATGCACTTTAAAAAAAATTCTGGACTTACAGTTTGGTATTAGACAGCATTATTTTGTTGCATTTCTTTTGAAAACCAGAAGAATTGATCTACACTCAGTGAGAACAAAGAAAAGTCATGTAGAACGTCCCTCAGCCAAACTTGTTATATTTACCCAAATATAATATGTATTTATATATCTAGTATTACATCGATATATTTTGTCTCAATAATGTAGATTTAATTAAACATCAAATATATTTAAAAAATTTAAGATAAGCTAGCTTTCTTGAATAAAATGCTAGTAAAGGACCCTATTAAAGAAGAGAGGCTCAGGAACCATATCGCTGAATTTTGAAGAAATAGCCAACTGACTTCACTTTGGCCAAAGTAGATTAACAAAACAATATAAAAAAAAAATAATAAAATGAAATTTTTAATCAAATAGCTGTTGAACAATCATATTGTTTGGGAATAAGCAAATTTTCATATTTTTAAATATTTCTCGGTAAAATTATTTTCATTTAGCAAGAATTTGAACCCCGTTTTGTGGCATTTCTCGTACCCTAGGTGCATGTGTATCATATATTGAAAAGTAAGTAATCATTTATTATAGTGACATTGTGCATTATAGACATTTCAATATACATTGTAAACAAAATACGTCAAACTGAATCTGCACCCGGTCCATTGGACCTATAAGTCACTTTTTCCATTAATATCATTTATATATAACTTTACACATGCAGAAGATTCATTCTAAGGTTAAATGCTGTATGTACAAAGAACTGCGAACGATAGTATTGTTCTCCCGCCTACCTCCAAGTCAATTTTCAAAAGTTAACATATTCGATGAATTTTTTCATATTTTTTATAGATAATTATATGGATTTTCATAAAATATTACTTATTTGGAAAAAACAAAGAGAGATAACTTTAAAATTTTGGTGAAACTTGTGTTTTTCACTATAGAAATCAACGGAAAACGGAAAATATTTTTAAAACATCCCCCCCCCCCCGTGTCACAAAAATTCCTTTTTACAGGTAATATGGAATGTTATTTCACATATTCATACCAAAGCTTTTTGTGAGACACGGGGGGAAACATATGATTATTGACAAAAAACGATAAAAATACTTATTTTCCACCAATTTTAAAGCGATTTACATCTGAAACATAGTATTTTATTGATATATCTATTTTTTCATTTATTTGCCTAAAACAAAAGAAAAAATGTAAAGAACATTTGATAACATCCAAGACTATTTCAAAATATGGTGATGCTTGAAACTCCGATTTCAATGGAAAATATCGTGTACCCCCCTTTTTTCAAGAGCTGGAGTTATGGATAATTTACTGTTACTGTTTACTGTTTAGTGCTGGTATAAAGACTATTCAGCAAGTACCATTGAACTGTTCTTTATATTAAACAAAGATTTTATTGCCAAATTGTTTCTTTATATTGAATAAAATGGTTCCAAAATGTAGGCGGGAATCGAGAGTTAGCGTGCGTATTTCTTTGGCTAACTTTATTTGGTAATTTTGATTTAGAACTTTGAACAAATAATCATTATCATTACTATTTGGGTGCTCCTTGTACACACTATCAAAATATCTTTTCCTACCATTATTATACAATTGACAGTCTAATAAGAAATATTTTTCGTCTTCAACAACGGAACTAGAACAGAAAATACACGTTCTTTCACTTAGGGGTTCGTTTTTATATCGACCGGTTTCAATGCGTAAGGGAAGCACTCTACATCTGAACTGTGCCAAGACTGATCGTTCGTTTTTTTGAAATATTAAATGCAACATATGGTTCGGTTTCACAATTAATTTTGAAGGAAATATATGTCCTTAATTTTGGTGATGATTGTATTTTCACTTTCCATTCATTTTCAGCATATTGACAAAGTTTTTGGTATATGTATTCGGTATTTACTATTTACTGGTTTTGAAAAAAAAAACGCTACTGTAGAGACTATCAAATATATTTTTGATTTGTGAACACCACACACCCTGCATATTATAATCCCAAATGAAAACTTTTTTCGTTAATCTGTCATTTTCCAACTGAAGAATTCGGTTCCAAAGCCGAAATATATTAAGCCAAAGTCGCTGTGTAGAGGGTAGCCATCCAACTTCGCTGTTATGGGTAAATAAAGGGGTAAATCGGTGAAGCCCCATAAAATAACGAATTGCACGGTTTTGCACCATATCAATTTTGTGAAAAACATTATAACCCCATAATCCCGAACAATAATCAAGAACTGGCACAACACAAGAAGTATAAAGGTTTTCGTATGTTCTGAATCCAACATCTTTATAAGAGTGTATTCTCGAAATTACTCCACCCAGTGCCCTGCCTCCGGCCTTCGCTAGAGTTTCCGAAGCAACATATAAAGAGGACTGCTTCTCATGAAAAATAATTCCAAGGTATTAATATTGTGGAAAGATCTGTAATTTCTCACTTCCTAACCTGAATTCGAACTTAGTGCGCGGTTGACGCCCTTTACGAAAATGCACAACATTTGACTTTTCGACATTTACATTTAAACGCCACTTTAAGCAACAATTATAAAATAAGTCCAGTAAAACTTGCATATCATCCTCATTTTCTGTTAAGAACACGATATCATCGGCGTATAAAAGTAAAAAAACTTTTTCAGAACTAAACTCGGCACTCCGGGCCATAGAGCAGTAAGGGTTCTTTATCATGCCAGCGCCCACCGTGATACGGGGCCTACGTTTTTAAGATCATATCCGAAAGACCTGTGACTTTCAGTTCTAATGCCAAGCGCTTGGCGAAGGAACGGTTAGAAACTATATTTACGTCTTAGGTTTGACGTGGTGTCGCGAAAGAGAATCAAACCAAGGTTCCCCGATGACAAAGCGATCTTATATACAAAGAATGTTTGATTTCATTTTCCCTTAAAAAATGTTTTAGCTGCTGTATATGTAAAGAAAGGTATTTATCAATTTTATCAAAATTAAACCTGAAAAAAAATTATGAAAATTGGTAACGAAATATGTGCAAAATTTTGAATCGGAGATTCATCTGTAAAAGCTATACATTTTACAACAGGTTTATTAAAAATTACGAAAACATTTTAGCTAATTGTTTTTAAAAATAGTTTTATTAGTTAATAGACCAAAGTTCATATAGGTATATATAGAAGTGTAAATTAATAAATGATGTCTTACTGTTTGGATTCAGTTGTTGCCTGCTGTCTTGTATCACAAGAAATGAATGAAAGGAACGTATCTTGAAAAAATAAACAAAATAAAAGGTTATTGCAACATTTCATCAGAAAATGACAAGTAGATGTACTAAACATATCATGATACAGTGTATTAAGGTCATATGCAACGTGGTTTGAACTTTATTGGGTTTTTCCCTGAAGTTAAAGTGTTCCACTAAATGAAGGATCTGTGTGCAATCCTTTTAATGTATATATATGGATTTGAACACCTCTTCTAATTCAAATTTTGAAGGAAAAAAATCTGGAAATTATTTTTTTGTCACTTTTGTATATTTTTCTTTGAATAATGCAAACTTTTTCATAATTTGATATATTCCAAAGCCCCCTGGTAATGCATGCCGATTTTTTTTCTCTATGAACATCTGATGGCACTTTAATCTTAAATTAAGAATATCTTGAAAAATTATAAGTAGGTAAGGTACCTTGCGTGCGTATGTCATTAATAGAAAATACCGCCCGTAAAATATTTGATTGCTTGTTAATTAGGATCTTAAGATATATTTTTGCATTTACATGTGTCTTCAGTTCATTCTACCGTTTTCCCCATTCAAAATACTAGTAGTTTGTCTATTATCAATTTAAATGATTTATTTGAAATTCAAATATTCTAAGCTAAAACTATTATGTGAATGAATGTTCCATAAATTATGGCAACATAAAGAGTTTGTTTCCAACATTTATGCGCAAAAGAAATTTGCATAAAAGGTTAAGTCAAAATAAATCAGATGAAAGGGATCGCACATGCAATGATCGTAATAAAAATACGCTATGTTAAGAAAAAACATCTTCAGCATTTAAAATTGGATGTATTCACGTTAACAAAAGAATTGACCTATTGGAGAGAACAATTTCCCGGAAAAAGAGACATTTGAAAATCAATCTTTATTTGTTGTTTTCTACCGTATATATGTCTTAATTTTTCAAATCTGTATTTTAAACCTAAAATTTATTATTTACGACTTTACAATGAACCACCAAAGTTGACCGAAACACCATTTTGTCCATTTAAGCGTTGATTTTTGCATGAATTTTGGCATTGAAGTCCTTCAGGGCAGGCCTGCCATTAAATAAAATTGTGATATTTTGATAGATTAGGATGTAAGGAATAACTTAAGATAAGATTTTTAGGGGCAAGCCTGCCATGGGGTCGAAATTCACAAAAAACTACAAAAAATTAGGAAACCTGATTATCATAATCTGCTTTAAATTTATGCCATTCAAACTTAAAATCAGACTAGCTCAGTTGATTTATGCGCTGACTTTTACACCTTGGATTCTTTCTTTTTAAAGTTGGGGGTCCGAATACACCCAGTACAACACTTTTAAAGTTTTAAATTTCGCTTTTTCAAAGGATATTTTAATTCTTTTATAGACTTGTGTATCTTTCCTTTAATTATCTATCCTTTATCCTTTATCTATCCTTTATGCATGCCCATTCTTGATATAACAAACACTAAAGAGATATCACATCGTAACAATGTCAATCCAATTGTACAGTTGTCAGTCAGGCGGAAAGAATCTCAGTATAAGCAAACTTTCTCCGAGGACAAGAATAACTCACTATGTGTTACTCAATACAGGTATTCTTGGCAGCATCGAGCTGCGATGAATTTCAATTGTATATATATATTCCTTACTATTTCATCACATTAATTTTGGCTACATATTTCAGTAAATGCACTCCCTTGGTTTTCATTTAGGCCTGTATAATTTGCACACATTATTGACATGTTTTATTATATTCACAGATAAAAAGCCTTAGCACTAGACATTAAGAGTAGAATTTCAGAGACAGTAGACATTACCTTTATGCACAATGAGAAGTAAAGACAAATATTAATTATTACTTTGGGAGATAACAAACAGAAAATCAATGAGAGGGTTCCTCCTACCTCTACTCCCTGAAATAAAGATTTTGGAAAACAAAAGTTGTTTTATGTATTCAGCGAATGTCATTAGTTGGAACGGAAATGTCAAGCTTTTGTAGAAAAAAAAACCAAGCCCGGTCCTATAGGTTAGATCAAATTGCTTTGAATAGTTAAAATATCTATAGCAGTCAAAAAGGGGGAATATTGACATTACAAGTACAGGGTGTTTCAACAAACATGTCCCGACTTTTGGTGTCTATATTTTTGCACAAGAATAGAATATTTATAAAATTATAACTGTACTTTAAAGCCCATTTTCTTGCAATATTACTGTGATATAAACAATATAAAATAAAGTCATTACATTTCTCCCATTGAAGTTTTGATTACATCTTCAAAAATTAATTTGTGAGGTTTTTTACTTCAGAAATGGATCTATACAGGGACGTAGTATCCGGGGGGGGGGGGGCCTGGCCCCCCCACTTTTTTCACCAACATTACCTTTAGTATAGGAAATGTGAATTGAAAGGATGGTTGGCCCCCCCACTTTTTATCACAGTATAGTGATATTAAGGAATTGAAGGAAAATATAGGGAAAAATGGGAAGTGAAGGCAACTTGGCCTTGAAAAAGTTGGCCACTACCCCCCCCCACCCCCACCCCCACCCCCACCCCCACGAAATAGGAATTTCGAATTTGGGAAAACTTAATTTTCCGTTTTTTTTTTTTTTTTTTTTTTTTTTTTTTGCTTGTCAACTTTTTTCAGGCAAGTAAAAAAAAATTTCTCTGGTTGGCCCCCCACTTTCAAAATCGATGCTACGTGCCTGCTATAGACTAAACAAATCAAACAGAAAATCTCCTAAATTATCAAAATTAGTGCATAAGATTTTGAAAAAAAAGTACTCATATGAAATCCATTTTTATAGGAAACAGACTTTTCATTAAAAATGTCCAAATATATGCCATAAAGGACTTCAGAGACAACATAAGTATGGTAACTGAAAGTACTGTACCTTTTTAAAAAACATAAAATGAAATCTGCTGCTGGTGTTCAAACGTTAATAATGCTGTCTTAAAAAATAATTGATTCACCCTGTATTTCAATGTATCTATTTAAATATCTATATGTAAAAATATTTGATCTTTAAAAAACTATTTTTGCTCAATGCCCTACTTTTTTGTATGATTAAATGTATGAAACACAATACCTTTTGATTTGGTTTTTTTAGGATTCGATTTTTGGCTGAATTGGTCTTTCAAGGATTTTTCATCTTTTATGCTTTTTTCTCCCTGGTTGTCTTGATGTAAAAATAAAATTTGTCCCAAATCAGAGCTAAATGGTAACTGGTATCTGTTTTCCGTTTTTACAGTGATCTTTGATAAATCACTAGTAAAATAAGATTTTGCCGGCCTTGAAGGCAAGATTATTTTTGAGCTATCCATAGGCATTTCAGTGGAATCTGGTATATGGTATTTACATGTCCCTTTCCTGACCCATGCATTAATCATTGCTCGTCTCCTGTCTCTGTCGTAATCTTGTCTCCCTTCGTGAAATTCTCCACCTGTAATATCTTTATCGGCCGAAGTTAAAAAAAACTCTTTCCCCTCATCGAGATCATATGGTATATGATCTTCATCAGGACTCTCACATTCCATTAAGTCCATAATAAATTTTAAGTTTGTTTCCCAGATAGATATTAATAAAAGTTTAAGCTTTGTCACTGATAGAGGTTTGTCTTTTTGGTTAGGCTCAAATTACCCCACAGAAACAATTTCTGAAATCTGAAAAAAAAACGAAACAAATGCGTCACTAGTCTGTCAAGTTGTATAATTAAGGAAAAAACTTATGGTAGGTTGTGGATTTATTCGTTAACAATTTTCACGAGAGAACATGTCCTGAATTTTGATATAATGTTCTTAAGAATTTATGGCATATTATCTGATTTCAAAAACAAAAAATAAAATTCGTCTGCGTAGTTTTAATGCTATAATGCTGTAAACGCAGCATAGTTTGTAGTACTATTTTTACACTTTATATAGAAAGAAAAAACCGTAAACGGTTCTAAAGCCAGTTTTGGGGAAATAGTTTCTTTGAAAAGGATTAAATAACTTTTTAAAAAAAACGTAGACGAATTAGTCAAGAATTTCAAAATGCCAATATAAGGTGAGGTTAAAACCATTGAGATAACAAAAATCAATATGTCTAGTCGCCAGTTAATTTGCAAAATAATTTCTCTGTTTGCTTTCATATTGCCAGAATGTTGGGTTTATGGTGTTAATTTACAGTATGTGGCCATAAGTGAGTCATAATTGCAATTTTACGCTATATATTTTGTGAAAAACCCATTTTTATAAAAAATTGTTGTGAAGTCAATTTTAGCTCAATTTTCACTGAATCATGCAGAATTATTCAAATTTTCTTGTCTTAAAATGAATAACAAAATGAGACTCAAATCATTGCGAATAAATTATAAAATTGTGAAGACAAAAATTTCTAAACTCAAATTACTAAGATTTCTTAACAAATTGAAGTCTTGAAAAAATTATATTTTGCACTTGACCTGTGATTTCACTGCAATGCCTAAAGATAAAATTATTTTGAAATAATATGAAGAAACTACAAAGAATTCTGCATTTTGTAGTGTTTTAGTCATAAAAAATGAGCAACAAATAACACTGCAATAGTATTTTAGAAAAATGCATTTTTCAATGAAATATATCGTGGAAAATAGAATTATGTCTCACTGATGGCCAGGTACTGTATTTTATTGCAACGTCATGTGTTGAATGAGATATCACCTTTACATACGAGTATATAGAGGATATTCAATGTTTTGTAGTTGAATATGGAATTTATCGTCATAGCTTAGTGTTGTGAGATTGAAAACGTCGTAAACAAGGATTTTAACAATACATTTTGGGACCTTTGGCAGTTTTATTTTATGTCAGAATGGTAAATTTATTTTCTAATGGACCAAAGGGTATTTTTTACAACATTCTTTGTTATTGGAAGGAAAGTCGAGAGTTTTCCCGCACTTCTGACATTCTTCACACTGTGACAGCATATCATTCTGATATCCTTTCACACTGTGACAGGATATCACTTTTATACAATGAATAAATTACAGTATTTCACTGGTAAAAATGTAATAAAAATATCTTTACATTTGGACTTTAAACAACTTGAAATGAGACTGTTGATATTCTTGATTCATTAACGTTTTGTCAAAAGCTTGCCTCGTTTCAAAAACAATATTTTTTCATACATATACCAAAAAAGACAAAACATGGATATGCAGTTAATTATGGTACAGTGTACTAAAAGGAAGAAGAAAGCCAGCTTAACATAATATGCAATTTTCTTTTGATTGCCTGACCGAGAATTACGAAGACTGGTCAGAATCTTTGTAGCTATGCTCTCAAATCAGTGTTCAGAATTACACTCACAACAATCAGCCGTGAAATGTAAGAACGGTATGAGGGAAAGTGCAACCTCTTGACGAAAAGTTTATTAACGATCTTTTTGCACAATTTGATGCACTTAAGGTTTAAAAAGTTTGCTTAATTATCACTTTAAAATTTATGGAGCGCAGGTCTGCTCAAGAACAATATTTTCCATTAATATAAGTTTTATGTGAGTTATTGGTGTGTGAATCACACAGACTTGTCACGTAGGCATATCTAATGAAGCGCGCTAGCGCTTCATGAAAAATATGCCTACGTGCAAGTCTGTGTGATTCACACACCAATAATTCACACTAAACTTAAAGACATTCTTACATGTTTGGAAGCGACTAAAATTTACTCAATATTTAAATTTCTCGTTGCATTATTTTGTTGCATTTTTCTATTGTCACTGCAGACCCCATTGACGTCACATTAACTTATGTTTCTCTGTGTATATTTCTACGCGTGAGTAAACACGAAAATGGTTTTTAAATCAGTTTCACAGTTGGCTTAGTAAACTAGAGGTACTGTGAGCAATGAGCTCACTAAATGATACCCCCCGCCACCCATAATGTCGATGTGTTGCTTTATATTGTTTTACGGTAATGTGTAAAGAGGAATATTTACATTTGCAAATGTTTTCCTTTATATAACGCTACTGAAAGGAATGCGTATCTATAACTGTATAAATACAGGTACGGGGTCAAGAGGTCATTGATGTACGTATGGATAATCGCTTGACGTAATTTCTCAGTGACGTCATAAAGGGTCGACGCGCGTTCAGTGGGTTACACACTTGCCGTTAGGTTTGAAAAATAATGCATTTCTCACATTACATTAAAAGTCACAATCAAGCAAATATAAAGTATGAGTAAGTCACAAATGTAAATATAAGTAATAAGGTATCATTTTAAAACATCTATCGAGCTATAAATACGGGTTGGTACGAGATTAAATTCATCATAAAGCCCTTCGGGCTTTATGGAATTTAATCTCGTGACCAACCCGTATTTATATCCCGATAGATGTTTAAAAATGATACCTTATTTCTTAAATAACTCGTCCTATGAAATGTTATCCAGAAGCTTCTATTATGTGACGTCATAGGTAAACAAAAAATGGTTATGTCCATGTTTTGCTCTGGGAAACCTAAAATACGTGTCGAATAAAAAAGTAAAATAGGAGGTGCACAATGGCAATATGTAATAAAGATTCTGTGAAAGTTGCGGATAAGAGAAAAAGCGTAACAGACGGACGGACGGACGGAAATCCCGATCACTTTATACCCTCCCGCTTTTCAAGCGGGGGTATAAAAAACACAGCGAATGTTAATATTGTAATATACACCACTTTCTGAAGAAATAACGGTAATTATACCCCCCGCTTGAAAAGCGGGAGGGTATATAGTAATCGTTAATTCCGTCCGTCCGTCCGTCCGTCTGTACGTCCGTCCGTCCGTCCGTCCGTTCGTCTGTTACGCTTTTTCTCTTATCCGCAACTCCTCTTATACTACTGAGTGAAATTTAATGAAACTTTCACAGAATCTTTATTACATATTGCCATTGTGCACCTCCTATTTTACTTTTTTATTCGACACGTATTTTAGGTTTCCCAGAGCAAAACATGGACATTGCCATTTTTTGTTTATCTATGACGTCACATAATAGAAGCTTCTGGATAACATTTCATAGGACGAGTTATTCCTCTTTACACATTACCGTAAAACAATATAAAGCAACACATCGACATTATGGGAGGCGGGGGGTATCATTTAGTGAGCTCATTGCTCACAGTACCTCTAGTTAAAAATTTACTTCATTTTTCTGACATCATATAAAAATTTGACGTCAGAGCTTATGAAAATATTCACTGATTTGAAGACTGCAGATATGGATCCTCTGCTTTAAAACATTATTATATATTTTTCAGCTTCCGTTTTGTCGTTTTACAGTGTGCCTGTAATGTGGCTACTTTAGACTTTGTCATTTTTCAGTGTGCCTAAAATGTACCTATTTTGGACTTAAACATTTTCCAGCATACGTTCAATGTACCTACTTTGAACTTTGTCATTTTTCAATGTGCCAGAAATGTACCTATGTTGGACTTAAATATTTTCCTGTGTACCTAAAATGTACCTACTTTGGACTTTGTCATTTTTCAAAGTGCCTGAATCTAAATACTTTATTAGAAGAGTGTGGTTTTTTAGGGGGGGGGGGGGGGGGGTAGTGACCACTTTTTATTATTTATTTTTCTTAAATTATAAATCAACAATTTGTGCATTTAATTTGTAATTACATTATACTTCAGATTTCAAATCATTATTGCAAGTACCCAGTATAATGTATACTGTGGTGTTGTGGAAAGGAAAAATCGGGAGGGGGGTTTCCATTGTTACACTCAAATGCCAAATATGTTATTATCATTAATTCAATTAATCTTCTTAAGGCAAATGAAAGTTAACCAGAAGTACTGTGAGCGATGAGGTCCCTAAATGATACCACCCGCCACCATATAGTTAAAATCGCAAAGTCCATGTTTTGCTGTGGCCATGAAACCCAACTATATGTCGGATCAAAAAGTGAAATAGGAGGTGCACAATGGCAATATGTAATAAAGATTCTGTGAAAGTTTCATCAGATTTCATTCAGTGGTATGAGAGGAGTTGCGGATAAGAGATGGGTACCCCAAAGCGTAACAGACGGATGGAAGGACAGACGGACGGACGGAATTAACGATTACTATATACCTTCCCGCTTTTCAAGCGGGGGTATAATTAAAGAATAATACTGCAAGAATAATACTGAGAAGCATCGTAACTAAGCAGTTTTGGTTGTTGGTTACATGATTACATGTCCATATTAATAACCACTTCACTAGATGCACGGACTACCTGATCCCTCTGTTGATTACCTATGTATTGTGTGCGTTCAAGCGGAAAGTGATTTCCTGTTTTGTAGTTAAGGTCTTTTGTTTCCAACGGAAGACCTTCTACTGATTCTGAAGATAAAGATTATTCTTATTATTCTTTTTTTTTCTTCCTAAACGCCAACTTTGAAGCCTCATATCTCACCCATTTCTCAATGGATTTTGCTCAATTTTTCCAGACATTATAGACGGTAATAAACTCTATCAGAATGCTTCTAAAATTTTTACTTCCGGTAATGAGTTGTTTCCCTTTAAACGGAAAATTAAAGGCTTTCATTTCCAGACAAAGGCTCAGAGACCACTAGAGCTGGAGCAGAAATTTTACTGGTTTTAGATAACAGAAGGATTGAAGTTGTGCACATCGGTTTATGTTTTTCGATTTCTGTATTCAAAATGACGCTATACAGGGG